AAAGTATTTGTTTTTTTTTTTTTTTGCAATTCTATTTTTTTTTTACTTGCTAGTTATTTTTTATTTGCTATTTTCTTACTATTTATTACTTTTCATTGCCAGTGCAAATTTACTGTAACATTTTTTAGATACTTTTCTTCCTTTTCTTTTGTTTTGTCGTTCTTAAACCTTTTTGCTTTCCTTTACAATAGAGGATTAGATATTTATAATTTTGCTCTGCAAAAAAATTTGAAGAAACAAACAAGCAAACACACACACAATGGACGAGGACATCAGCCTGCAGCAGGCCATTTATTCTTCCTTGAAAAGTTGCCGACCACGGAATCAGCAGACGCAACCACGTGCCGTTGCAACAAACAGTTCGGCACTAGCAAGTCGACCTCGTAACGGTTTACGCAATGCCCTCCTACGTGAAGGTATTATGCCTACAGTTCCACGATCTGCTCAAAGTAGAGGTGGGTTCACCGTTGCGGGATCGCAATATCGTGATTCACTGCAACGATTGGAAGCGACTGCCTCACTGGATGAAAATCCAACTTCAGCGAGTGCGCCTGTGCAGTTTTACCCGGCAAGCGATCGTGTTCCAGGATGGACTCAAATGTGTACAGGGGGTCGTATTCAACGACAAAATACTATGGGTTCTCAGTTAGTATTTATAGGTTCAGAGGTTCATTTAGAACAAACTCCAAAGATTCACTGCACTGATTTGTTGTTACTTCGGGCAGTTGCTCCACTGCCCAATGATCAAAGTATGTGCTGTTTTAGCGCACAGGTGCAAAGTTTGGTTTCTCCAGGACATTATGCCATGTTTGGTATGGGAGTCACACCCCACGCCGGAGAAGAATTGCAAGGTTTTACGTTGGCTTTAGTTCATTTTGATGCATCCGGTGCTTCTTTTATTTCCGTGGAGCGATGGCGTGTGACAGAGCAAGACACATTTGAGCGCTTAACAGTTTTGGAGCCAATGAAGCCTCTTCGTCTTGTTCGAGATCGTGTGACACTGTCGTTGGTCATTACTTCCCAATGCATGAGTCTATCCATAAATGGTGAGCTTTTTTATCCAATGCTTGCAGCACAAGATGTACGCTTGGGTGAGGCACTGCCAATTCTTCTTTCAACAGGTGGCAAATTATTGATACGAGATGTGGTTGTTACAGAAGGAGATAAACCGCCTGTAAATCGATTGTATGGAAGAGGTTCGGGATTGACATTGTCACCCAAAAAAAGTGATGGCGCGAGAAAAAGCCAAGGGGGCTCAGAAGAACGACATTCTCCAGTAACAAGGGTTTCCCAATCGGAAAATCGCTCCTCTTCGATAAAAGAACGATTCTCTACAGTTCGCAGGAAAGCGTCAAAGGAGAGACGAAGTCGTACGGCGGATAACGGTCTTCCCTCCAACATTAATCCCGAGTTTGCCAGTCGTATTGAATCTGAGATTATTGAGCGCTCTCCTAACGTACAATGGGAAGATATCGCTGGAATTCCTGACGCAAAGCGAGTATTAAATGAGGCAGTTATCCTTCCTCTTTTGGTGCCCGAACTATTTACAGGAGTTGTACAACCATGGAAAGGTGTACTGTTGTTTGGGCCGCCGGGAACGGGAAAGACAATGCTTGCTCGAGCTGTGGCGACAAGTGCAAAAACAACTTTTTTCAATATAAGTGCATCAACTCTTATTAGTCGATATTTTGGAGACAGTGAAAAAATGGTTCGAACCTTATTTCAACTTGCCCGTCATTACGCGCCTTCAACGGTATTTTTTGATGAATTGGATGCCCTTATGTCTTCTCGAGGTGGAAATGAGCATGAGGCTAGTAGGCGCGTCAAAAGTGAGATGCTTCAGCAACTTGACGGATTAGCCACGGAAAGTGATAAGCGTGTGATGGTTCTTGCTACTACAAACCGTCCATGGGACTTGGATGAGGCTATGCGACGTCGCCTAGAAAAACGTATTTATATACCTTTGCCAGACGCAGAAGGTCGTATGGAACTTCTTAAAAAGCAAACTTCTTCCATGTCTTTGGATACTAATGTTGATCTGGGTATTATAGCTGGTAAACAAACCGAAGGATTCAGTGGTGCAGATTTGAATTTATTGGTTCGTGATGCAGCGATGATGCCGATGCGCAAACTGATTGCTGACAGAACACCTGCTGAAATCGCGGCTATGAAGGCCGGTGGAAAAATGGTTTTGCCTCCTGTTACAATGCAGGACTTTGAGGAAGCGGTAAAGAAGATTCAACCCTCTGTTTCCCAACAGTCTCTCAAGGATTTTGAGAGGTGGGCCGAAGAGCTTGGGTCCGTATGAATTTCAAATGATTTCCGACATTTAAAGGCGCGTATTTCCAGAAATCTCTGTACTTGTCACTCTCGCTTAGGGGAAAGGAAGGCTCTAGTTTTTTTTTTTGCGTTCTTTTTTTTTTGTTCTCTCCCTTCTTTACGATATATCAACGTTTATCGGGAAGCACGTTTAGTCCCGTTTTTTTTCCTTTTTCACCCTTTTTCTTTTCTTTTTGGTTGTTGTTGTTGGACAATTGGCTGTTTCCCCAACTGTTGCTTTCGACTGATGATAAGTTGGAATTCATTTTTTTTTTTTGCTTCCGGTACTGAACGTTAACACAAAGCAACTTGTCACTGGGACTTTTTTTTTACCCCCCTCTTCATGATCTGGTCTTACTTCCAGTTTTTGGCTAATTACACGAGTCAGAGATTTATCTTTACACGCAAACAAAACAAAAAAAATCGCATGCCTGCAAAAGTATATATATATACTTTGGTTACTTTATTCCTTTTCTTCTTGTTACCACGCATCTTTTCGTCCTAGTCAGAGTGAAGTAATAAAGCGAAAAAAAAAAACAAAGGACCCGCGATTTTTTTTAAAAAAATGCGTTGTTGCTTATATGTGTGCACATAGGACGATAATTTGCTTCTTGACGTTATATATTTATATATGCATATTGCTTGCCCTTTATTTATTTATTTATTTTTTTGCTTGATTTCGTTTGTTGCCTCCTCCTCCCTCTTCATTCGTCATTGTTTCATTTATTCCTGTATAGCAGGGCCAACTTGGAGATAGTAATAAGAAGGATAATAATAATAATAGCTATAATAATAATTCCCGTTGTATTTTACACATCGCTGCGTGAGTTGGCAAATGACTGGAGTTTTGTTGGGCGTCTTCGATGGATACATGCCCTTAGAGCGAAATGCTCTGACATCAGAGACAAAAATTGGCGGTACACCCACATTCTTTCCGACGCTTTCCGATGCCCAGCGTGAGATCATACGAGGATGGACAACATGCGGGGTGTGTGGGCACCCAATGTTTCTTCTTTTACAGGCCTTTAGTCCGTTACCATCGGCATCTTCTTTGCATCATCGAATGATATACGTCTTCTGTTGCAACTCCGCCGCATGTGTAAGGCAACCCTCCGCTAGTTGGTGCGCCTTTGCTCTTCAAGTTGACGCTGCGGATGAGTCTGCTTTACACGATGAAGAGTCCGAGGAGGTTTTTCAGTGTGGTCCTTTGCTACCGGCTGAATTACCGCCCAATACTTTCCCTCCCTGTTTTGTAGACATCGTCCCTGAGCCAACAAAAGAAATTGTAGTGCCAACCAATCTAGAAGCTGAACTGATTCGTACTGCCGAGGAAAATGCTCGAAAGGCAGGTATTACTGAGGATGATGTGACGGAATTGGAAAACACGATTGATCTGAAGGATAAACCCTCTGACTATGAGTTTGAGAAGTTTCGACGAAGAATGTCGAGAGAACCTGCACAAGTTCTCCGTTATTATTCGCGGGACGGCTCAGGGAAAGAAGAAAATGGTGTACCAACAGCAACTGCTCCCCCACTCTTCATGAATCCTGGAAGTGTGCGGGACAGCGTGCGAATTCCACCGTGTGTCCGCTGTGGATCTGCTCTCACGCACGAATTGCAACTTATGCCCACCTGTGTGTATTATTTACGTGCTGGAGAATATATAGCACCTGGCCAATCAAAGGCAGATGATGGAGTCGACTGGGGTTCGGTAACAATCTACGTTTGCTCCAAGGACTGTTCGAAAGATTCTCAGGGCGTGGTTTTACTCAAGGCGTTTGTGCTCGTGGAAAAGGCCCCAGAGCTGGAGGAGGAGGAGAAGGGGGCGAATGGACGAAAGAACCTTCGCTCTTTTATGAATTGCTCATGATGTTGGTGTAAACTTTTTTCCTTTCGCTTTTTGCTCGAGT